CGAGGATTTTCCAAAAATTGGTACGAACGAAAAAAGACATTGCGACTCACTCAACTGGATGACGAGGGATACAGGCTAGCTGTCCGCCGCCACAACGATGAGGTTAGTGTTGATAATCACAAGTTTACTGGATGTGGATATGGTGTAATAAAGGCAGTTTATTCAGAGGTAAATATATCTGGAATCGCGTTCACGGACCCGTTCGTCAAACTCTTAGGGAGCTATACATTAAGCCCCATTACTTACCATATCAGATAAGAGAAATTGCTGCAGCTACATATATTTTACATCCTGGCCCTACATAGTTCACTATTTGCATCACTTACCAAAATATTACATGTGGTCATATATGCTTGGAAAGTGGAGATGCCATAGAACGTCAAAAAAGTAAACATTGCTGGAGACACATTGTCGTTTTGGAGAAGACATCGCGTTTGCTAGCGAAGAGATTTGTTGTGGCAAATGAACTTGGCCTGGGAATTGCCAGGAACCTCACGATAAGATATATGCATCAGCATTGCGAGTCTCATGATTCTATACGTATTGCGATTCGATACTGTGATTTTATTGCGCACCATATGTCTGTTGCAGAGGGATCAGAAAGCCATGAGAACGAGTTTTGATCAGTCATGGAAATAAAAGTGCTGAAAACTAATTGGCTCCCAATGTGAAAAGATTGAGAACAAGCTATGAAGGAACAATAATGGTGTTTTGGTGCAGGTACAGCCAACTAGCGCTAAAATATTGCGATATTGTCAATACAGTATATCGTATCACTATGTAACTCGATTTCTTTCACCCCAATCCCTCAAATTAACGGTAAATAACTGAATTGTTTGCCCCACATTTAGCTAAGATGATTAGCTAGCCAGCTAAAATGTTTTATTTAGTTAGCAGTCGCATCTACAATAGTTTACTGTCAATAACATGTCTCCAAAAATGACGTGGTGTCTCCAATTGTGTTGACATTTTACAATTGCAATGCGCATCCATGAGTATCCACTTTCTGTAGCTCAGCTGGTAGAGCATGGTGCTTGTAACGCCAAGGTAGTGGGTTCGATCCCCGGGACCACCCATACACAAAAATTTATGCACGCATGACTGTAAGTCGCTTTGGATAAAAGCGTCTGCTAAATGGCATATTATTATTATTATTATTATTATTATCTGAAGAGAGCCCCGAAACATTGTGTGCAGACATTTTATGCAATAAATGAAGTAGGTTCAATCTAGTAGTTCTGATCTTCTGATTGGTCCTGATGAGTTGGGCGAGGTCACCTCCAGGCTACTGTCACTGTTGCATTGGCTCTGAGTCGGGTTCTCTGTCTTCAAATGTTCAGCCTAAGAGAGGGGATTTTTGTGTGTGTGTGTGTGTGTGTGTTTAACAGTGATGATGTGTGTGTGTGTTTAACAGTGATGATGTGTGTGTGTGTGTGTTTGTGTGTGTGTGTGTCCTCAGAGCAAGAACTCGTGAGTTGGAAGAACTGAGAGGCCTATGGCGTGGGTGTTGTCCTTGGCCACCTGCTGACAAGGCTGACAAGATAGGACCCTTTTGTCCATTGTTATTGGATAGGAACAGAACTTATAACCAGCTCCTGACCTAAATAGATCTTAGCACAACATTTTACTCAACATATCATATTCCATATTCACTATAACAAATATATTTACTACGACATTAGCAAGAACCGCCACATCCTCAGCCGGCTAATCCAGTGTGTGAAGTTTTGCGGAGTGTTTGAGTTAGCTTTGCGAGGCAAAGATGAAACTGAGGGCTCCACCAACCCTGGTAAGCCAACACTTTTGAGATCAGTCAATAAATGCTTCTGGTATTGACTTATATGCTGCCCCTGTCTTCATGTTGTTGCTGGACATATCTTTTTTTTTAAATGTGTGTAGGTCACCTAAATCATCAGAAAAATTGCCCCTCCTGAGAATTTTTTCAGGAGCCGCCACTGTTTCTACTAGTTCTAATGTATCCATGACATTCACGATTTCCTTAAGAGCATGAGGGTGATTGTTTGTAGTGTGATTTCCTTTACGGTCCATTGAGCTATTTAAAACGGTATTATAATCTCCCACCATAATAATAGAGTCTTGAATTACTTGCAGAGTTGATAATTTATTATATATATATTGTCAAAGAAGTGTGGATCATCATTATTTGGTCCGTAAAGTTTAATGAGCCATATCTGTTTATGGTCCAATAACATATTTAAAATAATCCATCTACCTTGCATATCTGTTTGGACAATTTGCACATTCGGATCGAAATTACTGTTAATTAATATCATCACCCCTTTTGAGTTTCTTTGCCCATGGGAGTCCTAACCGACATGCCAAAACTATAGTTTGTTAACAAGAAATTTGTGGAGTGGTTGAAAAAACGAGTTTTAATAACTCCAACCTAAGTGTACGTAAACTTCCGACTTCAACTGTATATACTGTTGCCCTGTTTTCATTGTTTTTCTCTCAAATGCAACCTCTTTTTTCCACACTGATGCTCATTTTACATTATAAACTGGGTGGTTCAAGCCCTGAATGCTGATTGGCTGACAGCTGTGGTATAGCAGACCGTATACTATGTGTATGACAAAACATTTATATTTACTGCTCTAATTACGTTGGTAACCAGTTTATAATAGCAATAAGGCACCTCGGGGGTTTGTGGTATATGGCCGATATACCACAACTAAGGGCTATGTCCAGGCACTCCACAGTGTGTCGTGCCTAAGAACAGCCCTTAGCCATGGTATATTGGCCATATACCACACCTCCTCGGGCATTATTGCTTAAATATAACGCCACGCTTCATGGTATAATACAACACGTCTACAGTCTATAAAACAGTAATAACTACAAAAACAGTGCAAATGTGAATCGTGAAACCCTTAGAATCCAACAAGATCTTTCAAATGTTCTGTTTAAATATGTAATCAATAACACTATAGCCTAGAGCAGGGCTCTCCAACCGTGTTCCTGGAGAGCTACCCTTCTGCAGGTTTTCAATCCAACCCCAGTTGTAACTAACATGATTCAGTTTATCAACCAGCTAATTATTAGAATCATGTGCGCTAGATTAGGGTTGGAGCCAAAACCTACAGCACGGTAGCTCTCCAGGAACAGGGTTGGAGAGCCCTTGTCTAGAGTGTAGCCTACAAAGAAATGAAGTTTGACATGAAATGAAGTGCATGTCTTCATGCATACCCACATACATCATGAGGAGGAGTATGCTATTGTATACTATTGCCCAGAAATGATTAGAGACAGCATTTACCTTTTGATCCACTATTGAACATACAAGCTCCTTCACCGCAGATAGCCCGGACAGATCGCTGGCATCCAAGTTCACCGTTTCCCTGGTGAGTCCGATCTGGAGGAGAAAAGACACCCCGTGGAAAGAGCACTGGGAGTTGGTGGGGCTCGGGGCGCTGAGACTCCCATTTGACAGCCGACCGTAGAGTGTTGCCGGCGGGCTTGGAGACGGCGAGGGAGTCGGTGGGGCCACTGGGTGGGGGGCCACAGAGAGGGGGTAAAGTCTAGGTAAGGGTGGAAGGGACGAACTGCTGCAGGCAGACATTGGCTAGCTTTATGTCTTCTTGACGGATTCTTGACGGGGTAAAGATGCAAAGTTGACCGACATATATTATTTAGAATAGCAGCTCTCAACTTCTTTTCAACGACATCGGGTATGTTGAAGCATCTTGGTCATCTTGTTTAGAATATCCAGCCGGTTGAATAAGTAATAGATCATACTGAACACTACCCCTATAGAAAATAAACAATTAGGCCTACTCTAAAGTGTAACTTGTGCCCTGTACAAGTTTCCTCATCGACAGCTCACATGAGATTCATAACAGTAAGTAATGTTTTAATGAAAGCCTGTTGATTATTCCTACATTATCAGCTCTACAAACCATTCTGAGGACAAGTGAATCTTTTTTTTTTAAATCGAGCTGCCAAAACTCCAAAAGCCCCCAACCATTGGAGAATGTTCCGCCGCAGGGCAGCAACAGCCAGTTCTTACGGTGAGTAGAGGAAACAAGCACAGCGCAGCTCTCATCAGTTGCTCCTTGTAACAGAAAGTTTCTCACTCCCCGGAAATTACCTGGCAACAAAAAAAGCAAACTATTAAAGTAGATAGGCGAATGGAGATGCGTGGCCAGAATTGTGGGGAAAACACTCCTGTCAGATCAATGAGTCAGATTATAATTGCTCATTGATAAGCCAACAGTTAATGTAAATGAATAGGCTGCGAAACAGCTTGTTCTGTATACAATAATTTAATAAAACCCTTTAAAGGGTATTAATAATACAGTAATAACAACAATAGAATAACAGTATTATTAGTAGTATTACTATTATTACTTGTTGTGCCTTTGCATAAGGAATTTCAACTAGCCTAACACATGTGGAACCAAGAGACACATAGTGCTCTCATTTGGATGGGAGAAGTAAAACATGTTCATGCAATTGCTTGTAGCTGCTATCCTATGCTTGATATTGTTCACTATAGCCTAAACGCCCCCACAAAGCCTATACGTGTACATTACCTTTTCGAAAAGGACAGTTTTTGCTCTCTGGAGATGAAAAGTGTGTTTTATTTCCAATCTTCCAAGAAGTTCGAACGCTTGAACTGTGAAATCACGAAGGCCTGGTGTGCCTCCAAACTCTCTATTTTGGCATTGAGTGCGAAGTCCGAGTATTTTGTCAACTATGGGGTACTTTCCTCTCAAAACTTTTTTCCCGTAGCCAGATCTCAACCAGTTCATGCGTATCCTATTATGGCACCATAGTAACTCATGTCCCCACTCATTGGGTAACAACAGAACACAGGACTTTCTGGGACTAGAAGTTCTAGTATTTGTTCCACCGGCCATCTGTAGATGGTGCAGCTAGACAATAAGAACGACATTACCCGGTAGGCTTTGGGTGTGTGACGCCCTTGAAGTATAAGCTATTTTCTCAGCTATCCCCGTTATTTGTCTCAAAACTATATGATGGCTGTAGTATCTGCGACCTCTAACGGTGCAGATGAAAACTCCTTTGCGGTAAAAGAGGATAAAAAAGGATGGTTATCCAAGCGCACACATTTTACGCACCGGTGGAAACCTGCATGGTTTCAGTTGAAAGAAACTAAACTGTTGTATGGTGAAAATGAAGAGGTAAGAAGACAACAGGTCATTTCCTGTGCAACATGTCAAGCTAAGACTAAATAGTTTTTTAGAATGTATAATTTTTGCCCGATGATTATGGTACAGTCAGTGTGACAAAATAGCTATGCGACCAAGCGTTACATTGGAACTTTCAGCACTGTCAGTGAAACATGTTTCCCTACTTGCTACGTTGTTGTCCTGTTACCATAGCAGCGTGCCTTTTACTGCTACTGTAGCAAGGTGGCAAGGTCTCCCTCAGCTAGGTGTTTTGAACATTGTCTCAGAATACAATGTCAATAATATAGTAGGCTATTGTTATTTAGTCTACATGTATCCTTGGCATGTAGAGACAGTGCTTTGCATTCATTGCATTTTATTACAAGGCAGCAAAATATAGGCCTAGGTCATCTATGCGTCCCAAATTGCTCCCAAAGTGCACTACTTCTGACCAGGGACCATAGGGCTCTCGTCAAAAGTAGTGCACTATATAGGGAATAGGGTGCAAATTGGGGTGCACAGCATATCTGCCATCTAAAACAACATCACTTCTTCATCTAGAAGCTTCTGAAGACCATCAACCTGGTTGGGGCGGTGGTAGAGGCTGTTGAAGGAGGAGATGGATCATTCGAATGGACTATTACGCCTAAGGACAGGAAACGGACCTTCTTCCTCCGGGCTGGCACCACATCAGAACAGCAGGGATGGATGGAGGCTATATGTGAAGCACAGCTGAGCTCCAGGGACCATGCTACTAATGCTTGTGTTGTGCAATAGACCTTTTGGATTTTACATAGATTGTTTTATACCTTTATACTCATGTAGGTCTACTGGACTGTGGCAATGTGTGATTTTTGTGTGTGAAAGTTTTGCCAATAGGAGGCATGGCATTAATAGGATTTTTTAGACTTTATAAAGCTTGTGTTTGCTTAAGTCATGCCCTCAGTCTTCCATATCATCAGTGCTGCTGAAACAACTTGAATTGGGTTTTTCACTATTCTACTTTTCACATTACATACACCTGTTATCATTATTTGCTTTCAGTTTAATTCCATTCTTTAGAGAGCAATAATCCGCTACTAGACATTGGTAGGAATCTACTTTGGCAGGATCTGTGCTTTTCATGCTACAAGAAAGGAACCCAGTAGCCTATGTAATCCTTTTTGCTTCGACTCTGCAGTAGAACCATTTCCTCTGCTACGTGTATAATACATATTGTTCTGACCTCAACCCCTTTTATCTCCATCTGTATACAATTGCATAGCAGTGCCACTGGACCTGGCAAGAATGTATTGTAAATATTGACAGTTAGTTGCCATGGTAATGTATAATTCCCTTTCAGAGGAATCCTGATACGAAAGGATTGGCCCAATGGTCCATAGATGTGTGTGTGTGTGTGTGTGTGCGTGCGTGTGTGTGTGTGTGTGTGTGTGTGTGTGGAAAGACCTCAGGAAACACAGTAGTTGGAGGTTAAAGATTAAATAAAGGAAAGAGAAGACTGGGAAGACTGAGATGGTTAAACGTAATGAAACTGAATCTGAGTGTGTGTAGAAATAAAAATACAGGTCAGCGCCAAACCTCAGGTTCAGTTGGAAAATGAAGGAAGGTCATCTCTCAATGGATGTTCCTCTTAGTCAAGTTCTCCTCTACCTTGGTGCCAGACCCAGACCACCCTCTGAGAGGCATTGTCTGCATTGCAATTGGCATCATATTCCTTATATAGTGCACTACTTTTGACCAGAGGCCTATGGGCCCTGGTAAAAAATAGTGCACTGTATAAGGAATATGGTGTCATTTGGGACGTAGGTTACACAGGTTACACATAGTCATCCAAACATGCTCACAGAGAGGGAGAGGGAGAAAGAGTGTTTTAGACCTAAGATCCATCGTCAGCAGAAAAATAAGTTGACTGTCAAGACAGATGTGTTATTATTAACAGCAAGTCTTGAAATGCAACAGTTTTCTAGTATGAGTCATGCACACATTTCTAAAGCAATACACACACATAGCTCTATGTCAGACATCCAGTTCAATACTCAGTGTGAGGCTGCTTACAAAATGGAACCATATTCCCTATATAGTGCACTACTTTTGACCAGGCCCTTAGGGTTCTGGTCAAAAGTAGTGCACTATACAGGGAATAGGGTGCCATTTGGGATGCAGCCAGTGTCTCTGCCAGCTTATGTCAAGCCTTGCTTGAGGCGGGCAGAACAAGAATCCATCAGTCACACAGGAAGTCTGAACACAGGACATCTAGAGATACACTGCAGGTGTGGACCGTTCAGCACTGAAAGAAACAGGCTTTACAAAGGCATTGATGGAGATTGTATATTGTGGAGGCACGGCATTGATGGAGATTGTATATTGTGGAGGCACGGCATTGATGGAGATTGTATATTGTGGAGGCACGTCAAGTCAAGGACCAAAATAAAACCTTTTATGACATTGCCGCTTTATTATTCTGCACACACATATACAATACAAAATGTAATTGTTTTGTTTATTCAATAAATTATATATTTTTGAGTTGGTGTATTGGGAGAGTTAGCATTGAATTCCCTGTAAGTGTTCTCAAACTGCTGAAGTCAAGTGATTAGTATAGCTAGTCTGTAAAGTAGTAGAAAATATCCTCCCCCCTGGTGTCAGAAGAGGGCAGTCTTTCCTTAAAAAAACTATTACTTCTCATGATGTTCAACAAGTTGTGGATTGTATTGCCAGACAAATTAATGGCTACAATGTTTTTAGATATTATAGCAAACGCCTGTCATTTATCCAGTCTCCGACATGGATAAATGACATAAGAAAATATGTCATTATGAATGTATTGATTAAATTAAACATGACACCCACACACACAATTGTTTTGTTGTTGTTAATTTACACTCTTGTCATCATAACATTCTTCTCATAACCCATGTAACCCTAAAAGTCCCCTTAAAACCCTTAAAAGTCCCATATCACTGCCACCACATTACTTTTGCCTGCACTCTTCCCATGGGAAACTTTGGGGACCTAAAATTGTCATATCAGGCAACACCCAACACATGAATAGACTCATGCTTTGAGACTTAGACAAGATGAGGGGTCTAATTAGATACCACCAGATCCAAATGTTGTGTGTGAATTTGAAGTGTGATACATTGAAGAAAACATGTAGCACATTGTATCACATTTTCTTAATTAGGCCTAGTAGGCTATATTTTATTATTTTCACAAAAACCTGTTGAGTAATAAATTCAAGGATTTTCACAATAATATTTTATATTTGCCTCCAATATAATTTATCTTATTCAATAGCCTATGCATTGATAAAGCTCACTAGCTAGCAGTAACGGCTTTGGTTGAGTAGTGGTTGATGACCCGAACTGTAATCTGATACTCCCGCCCCTAACTTCTCTCATGTTTGCGCCGCTGTACTGTAAACTTGTTGTTTTCCCACATGCGATCAGTCGGTGCTGGGGGCTGTACCGGGAGCAGCGTACTAGGACTATTTCCATGTAATGTCGTTGTAGTTACATGTCTACTACTATGTGGAATGACTGATTTTTCATAAAAACTAGCCTAAACGAACAACACTTACTGAAAAAGACGGCAACATTTTAGCAGGCATAATTTCAAAGAAATGGATCCCATAACGAAGTGGACTCCTAAACAAGTTGTCAATTGGATGAGAGGTGAGTTGAGAGCCTTGTTAACTATAACATAAACAGTTCCCCATCATAGTATAATAATGTCTGTGTAGCAATATTTTTGAATATCCTTTTAAAATGTATATATATTTCGTTGTTATAGCCTAGTTAATTGTCTTTTTGAATTTTTGGACTTAATTATGTATACCCATTAACTCTTGAAGAATATAACTTATTCGACCATGAAGGATTAAATTGTTTTTTTCCCCTAATCAATCTACACACAATAGCCCATAATGTCAAATCAAAAACTGTTTTTTAGAAATAAAATAAAACTGAAATATCACTTTTAGGTTAGTATTCAGACCCTTTACGCAGTACTTTGTTGAAGCACCTTTGGCAGCGATTACAGCCTCGAGTCTTCTTGGGTATGACGCTACAAGCTTGGCACACCTGTATTTGGGGAGTTTCTCCCATTCTTCTCTGTAGATCCTCTCAAGTTCTGTCAGGTTGGATGGGGAGCGTCACTACACAGCTATTTTCAGGTCTCTCCATATGGTACCCTATTCCATATACAGTGAGGGAAAAAAGTATTTGATCCCCTGCTGATTTTGTACGTTTGCCCACTGACAAAGACATGATCAGTCTATAATTTTAATGATAGGTTTATTTGAACAGTGAGAGACAGAATAACAACAAAAAAATCCAGAAAAACGCATGTCAAAAATGTTATAAATGTATTTGCATTTTAATGAGGGAAATAAGTATTTGACCCCTCTGCAAAACATGACTTAGTACTTGGTGGCAAAACCCTTGTTGGCAATCACAGAGGTCAGATGTTTCTTGTAGTTGGTCACCTGGTTTGCACACATCTCAGGAGGGATTTTGTTCCACTCCTCTTTGCTGATCTTCTCCAAGTCATAAAGGTTTCGAGGCTGACATTTGGCAACTCGAACCTTCAGCTCCCTCCACAGATTTTCTATGGGATTAAGGTCTGGAGACTGGCTAGGCCACTCCAGGACCTTAATGTGCTTCTTCTTGAGCCACTCCTTTGTTGCCTTGGCCGTGTGTTTTGGGACATTGTCATGCTGGAATACCATTCCTCAACCCATTTTCAATGCCCTGGCTGAGGGAAGGAGGTTCTCACCCAAGATTTGACGGTACATGGCCCCGTCTATCGTCCCTTTGATGCGGTGAAGTTGTCCTGTCCCCAAAGCATTATGTTTCCACCTCCATGTTTGACAGTGGGGATGGTGTTCTTGGCGTCATAGGCAGCATTCCTCCTCCTCCAAACACGGCGAGTTGAGTTGATGCCAAAGAGCTCCATTTTGGTCTCATCTGATCTCATCTGATCATACAGCACCCAGTTCTCCTCTGAATCATTCAGATGTTCATTGGCAAACTTCAGACGGCCCTGTATATGTGCTTTCTTGAGCAGGAGGACCTTGCGGGCGCTGCAGGATTTCAGTCCTTCACGGCGTAGTGTGTTACCAATTGTTTTCTTGGTGACTATGGTCCCAGCTGCCTTGAGATCATTGACAAGATCCTCCCGTGTAGTTCTGGCCTGATTCCTCACCGTTCTCATGATCATTACAACTCCACGAGGTGAGATCTTGCATGGAGCCCCAGGCCGAGGGAGATTGACAATTCTTTTGTGTTTCTTCCATTTGCAAATAATCGCACCAACTGTTGTCACCTTCTCACCAAGCTGCTTGCCGATGGTCTTGTAGCCCATTCCAGCCTTGTGTAGGTCTACAATCTTGTCCCTGACATCCTTGGAGAGCTCTTTGGGCTTGGCCATGGTGGAGAGTTTGGAACCTGATTGATTGATTGCTTCTGTGGACAGGTGTCTTTTATACAGGTAACAAGTTGAGATTAGGAGCACTCCCTTTAAGAGTGTGCTCCTAATCAGCTCGTTACCTGTATAAAAGACACCTGGGAGCCAGAAATCTTTCTGATTGAGAGGGGGTCAAATACTTATTTCCCTCATTAAAATGCAAATCAATTTCTAACATTTTTGACGTGCGTTTTTCTGGATTTTTTTGTTGTTATTCTGTCTCTCACTGTTCAAATAAACCTACCATTAAAATTATAGACTGATCATTTCTTTGTCAGTGGGCAAACATATAAAATCAGCAAGGGATCAAA